TTTATAATATAGTATAGGTTATATTGTTAATTTAATTTAAGTTTAATAATAAAATAATTTATTTTTGGTTTAATAATATAACATTTTATAAAGATAATAATTAAGTATTTTGTTATAACTCAATGATTATCTTAATTATAWTTTAGATTTTTTATATTTAAAATAAGATGTTTATCCTGTATTTGATTGTGTTTATCTGCAGTTAGTTACACGAATTCAGTTATGGGATGAAATCGGATTGGGATGAAATTGTTTAGAGATGAACGGGTTTAAGAGTTTTAAGAGTTTAAGAGTTTAAGAGTTTTAGTCAAATGCTTTATAATATAGTATAGATATATATATATTCGCAGTTACTGAACATGTATATGGATGAGTTATATAGAGATGTGAATAGATTAAAAACATGTGTATATGAAAAGCATAGGTCATGATGTAATTGTTTAATATATACATTAATAGAGATTCAACAAGTATATTATATCTAAAAAATAAAAAGATATCGGGTTCATGAGTTAAGTTGGGTTCATATAATAATAACTCAATATTAATCCAGAAGAGATTCCACATTTTAAAATCATAGAGAACTCAAGAACATAACAATAAGAACAATAAAACTCAAAACACAAAGAGTGAAACACCATAATCATACATACATACCCTAATCATCAACCCTTTTGATTTCAAGAGGCTGTTTACCAAACGCTTATTGGGTAAGCACTTAACTGGATTGATATGGATTGGTTTGTAAACGTCTCTTACCTGGTAAACACTTACTAGTGACGGGTAAGCGCTTATTGGGTTAAAATGGATTTGTTTGTAAGCGTTTTTACCCGTTTAAGAGTTTAGTAAACGGCCCATCTCTGAAATCCCTAAAAGTAGCTTCAGAAGAACGCTCGACTCCCGTAAAACACTCGTGGGCGTGTCCCGTTTGGCGTTTGCGTGTTCTGATCCGTGCTCGAGTTTCCTGAACTCGTCTGCTCGTTTTCCATCTCCAATGGCAGCTTCATCTTGGCCAATGACTCGGTAAACTGCTGCATACTCTTCATGTACAGATCCACAAAATCTTGCTGCACCACTTTTTGATCCATCTCGAAATTCATCGCCATTGACGGCTTGTTTCTTGAATCACCGATCGAACCAACTTCAACCGGCTTATTTCTTGAAGCACCCATTGAACCAACTTCAACGGGCTCGTTTCTTGAATCACCCATCGAACCAACTTCAACCGGCTTGTCTTTCGGGGGTGAATCAGATTCTTGATTTGCAGATTTCGGGGGTTTATCGGAAGATTCAGATTCGGTGCTTTCAACAGGAACCGAACCACAATGAGATCCGTTAGTCGAAACACTTGTTGGCGGTGAATCGGGTTTAGGAGTTTCAAACACAAAGGGTGCACCGTTTTCGGAGCTCGCCTGATCATCGTTATCAGAAGAGACTAAACTTTCCGAGCTAATCCCGAAGTACTCAGACACCATCATCTGGTTTTCGTTCACAATCTTGGGATCCGGAAACTCGAGTTTATCCAATTCAGTTTGGTTCAGGACGGGTGGCTCCGACTCGGTCAAGACTAGGTTCTTAGTCTTAGATGGCGGCGGAATAGCAATCACGTCCGGTGAGGGCCCGTTGTAAGCCAAAGAAAGCTGAACGAAACCGGAAGGCGAGTGGAAAAGATCATTGGAAGACAACGAAAACTCCTTTTCGAGTTTCCCGTTCTTGATGACAACCTCCGAAAGCGGAATCAAAGCGAAACCTAGCAACTGATCTTCAAGATAATTCCGAACCCTACTCAACATATAGATTTCACATTTAAGAGAAGAATCGATGGTGGGTACATCGATACAAAGATTCTGATTGAAGACGGGATTTTGTCCACCGCCGTTTATGGTTTGAGTTGTGACAGATTTTTCGGGGTGGCTCGTGAGGCAAATCTTGGCATAAACGTCTTGCTTATGGTATATACAGATGTTTTGAATGTCTCTAGCTTGATGAATGTAAACCTCAAGAACACCAATCGCGGATTCGGTTTTCTTGGATTCAAAACTCGGGATTCTCGTGAAATGATCAAGATTATGTTTTTCGGGCTCGGGATAAACAGATGAGGTCTTCAATGGTGACACAACAGATTGGGGAGATTCCATGGATTCAAACCTGCAAAAAAAGGAAACATTTTTAGAATCAAGAAACTGTTACAGAGCTAGGGTTTTACTAAAAGATCATAAAATTACAGAAAAATGGCAGATTTCAAAGAAACCCCTAAAGAATCTATCAAATCTAGAGGCAATTCAACTAAAAAGAATCCAAATCTTCAGCAAGTTCTTACATGATTATACACAGAAAACATTTTGAGGATCAAGAAGCTGTTACAGAGCTAGGGTTTTACTAAAAGATCACAAGATTACACAAACATGGCACATTTTAAAGAAAACCCTAAAGAATCTATCAAATCTAAATGCAATTAAACCAAAAAACCCCAAATTATCAGCAAGTTGTTACATGATCATACACAGAAAACATTTTGAGGATCAAGAAACTGTTACAGAGCTAGGGTTTTACTAAAAGATCACAAAATTGCAGGAAAAAGCAGATTTTAGAAGAAACCCTAAAGAATTTATGAAATCTGGAAGCGATTCAACTAAAACACCCAAAATTCTGAGCAAGTTCTTACATGATCATACGAAGAAAACATTTTGAGGAGCAAGAAACTGTTACAGAGCTAGGGTTTTACTAAGAGATCACAAAATTACAGAAAAATGGCAGATTTTAAAGAGAACCCCAAAGAATCCATCAAATCTAGAGGCAATTCAACCAAAAGAACCCCAAACTATGAGCAAGTTCTTACATTACCATACACATAAAATATTTTGAGAATCAAGAAACTGTTACAGAGCTAGGGTTTTGCTAAAATTACAGAAAAATGGTAGATTTTAAAGAGAACCCTAAAGAATCTATTAAATCTAAAGACAATTCAACTAACCCACCCCCCCCCCAAAAAAAAAAATCTGAGCAAGTTCGTACATGATCATACACAGAAAACTCTGAAATCCGTGAGTTTAACAGATTATGTGTCCATTCAATTATCAGAACTAATATCACCATTAACAACCACACAATTCAAATCATAAAAACCTAACCTGGATTGAAATGGGAAAAACAGAGCTCTGGAAAGGGAAAGCAGACAAAACCCTAATCTTGATCATCTAAATACATGCATAATTGGATATAAATAGAGAGACCCACAAAAAAAAATTGTCAAACCCCAGTACCCAATGACTTCAATAGTGATTGAATAGACCCTATCTTGATTAAAAGATTACAAAAAAATTAGCACAAGACTCGATTCAAAAACTATTTAAGAAGCAGATACCAATAAAGTTATCTACTTTACATCAAAGAACACTACCACCCCAGAATCCAAGAGAGCAAAAACAGGGAAAAGGGAAAGCTAAAACAGTAGTACAGATCTCATACAATCATAAATTAAATAATTTTGAGCAAAAAAAAGACATAAAAATCCAAGAAATCCTTAAAAGTGGATTGAATAGTGAAAAGGGAAAAGCTCAAAAGCATCAAAGATTGGACCTTTTTAGCACCAATCCAAGAAAACAGTTGTAAAATGTTGAGGTTTTTATGCAAGAAAATGTTGGAGAATGAAGCTTCAAGAAGGGGGGAGAATGGTGGAAAAATGGAAGGTAATTGAGGGTCTGCTATGGGTTTTCAAGAATGTTGGAAACTACTGCGATTGTGTGGTTGGATTTTGAGGGTGGTGGTGGGTATTCTTTTCAATATTCAAGTTCAATTTGTCTGCTTGTTTATTAAAAGAAATAAAGTAATGGTGGATTATTGTTACCGACATGTTCTACAAATACTTCATCCAAATCCACCCAAGATCAGCATAGTCTTGCGAAATAAGTATGATATCATATTTTAATGATGGGATCTAGAATTTGTCTAACGGGTGTATTTTTCTCTGGAGAAGAGAGAAGATCTCAATCGATGTTATCCGAAGGAAAAGAGATAGGTATAAAGGGTAATAGAGTTAAAATAGTAAATTGGTAATAAGTAGTTTTTCATAAATCAGGACATATTAACTTATCAAAAACTGCTTATTACCGGTTTGGCACCGGTATAAGCAGTTTTATTTTTTCTTATCCAAACACTAGATATTAGCTTATCACCGGTGTCAGACTGAAATAAGTCAATAAGCAGATACAATAAGCAATACCAAACACCCCCTTACTATGTTTAAGATTGTTTATAAAAATTGTTTTTTTAACTTATTTCAGTTTAATATCAGTGATAAGCTGTTTTTTGTGTTTGGATAAGAAAAAAAACATATTTATATCGGTGCCAAACCGATAATAAACTGTTTTTGATAAGTTAATCATTCATGGTTTATGAAAACTGCTTATGACCAGTTTACAATTTTAACTCTATTTTATTTAACTCCAATTTGACACCACATAAATTAATAAGCATTTTTACAATTTAAATAAGCAATCCCAGACACCCTTTTAGGGGTGCTTGAGATTGTTTATAAAAACAACTTATTGACTTATTCCGGTATAGTATCGGTAATAAGCACTTTTGAGTGTTTGGATAAACAACTTATACCGGTGTCAAACCGGTAATAAGAAGTTTTTGAAAAAGTTAAACCCTTTTGAATTATGATAAGTGTTTTTATAGGAAAACATAAGTTGTTTCAAATAAGCAATCCCAAACACCCCCTTAAATAACTTGATAACACGACATTTTTTCCTTCCCTCTATACTTTTCTTCACTTTCTTTAGATTACATTTGTAAAAGATGACTCAAGAACATAACGTTAAGGTGGACAAAAAGTTCGTAAAATCGTCCAACGTCTTTTTAGCTGAATTCCATCATTTCGAAAGATTTGTTAAGTTTTTGTTTGATTCTGAACGATCTTTTTTTCGGTTTTTTGGCTGATTTCGATAGATTTTTTCGGGTTCTTTTTGTTGACGTCCCTTATATTTACCATCTATCAAGACATCTCTCGGAGTTTGACATACAAATATTTCATACCCAAAATAAAATCTACTTACGAAAATCAATTGAATTATTGTATGAGACGCTGTTAAGAACTTCATAATTTATTTTAAGTGGTAATATTTATATATAGAGCTAAAATATGAATTAAGAAAATATTTATGATGTGACTAAAAAAAATTAGAAAATAGCATGCGATTTTTTAGTAAAATAAGGTTTATGGCGTTTTTCTACAGACTATAAATCACGCGATGACCAGATACATAGGAGTAGTCCAATCTTATGTGTGGTCTTTGAGTGCGATCTTCTACATATCTGACGATGGTTTGATCGGACAGTTCCACTTGCCCCGTAGTTTCAAATTTGTACAACTAGACCCCACAACTCTTTTAATATGCAGTTAGAGATCTTTTATTCAATAAATATTCATCGAGTCACTTACCTTAGTGAATATATATGACAATAATTCATAATTTTACCCGGTACAAGTGATGAGAATAATCGAGAGTTTTACCCGATAATGAGATTGACGAGTCTTACCCAGTTAATGGGCCTTGTATTTTCTATTTTTTGGTTGATGGGCCTTGTATTTTCTAATATAATGAATCACCCCTCAAAGTCTAGCGTACAGACCGTTCATATCCCTAAAATAAGCACTTGTGAAAGTCGGTTAAACGGATGCACTGTACATGAGACCCTGTTAGGACCTTCATTAGGCATGGGAATCAGTCCCGACCCGTCAGAGAACCCAGTCCACTCGCCCCAATTAGAGACGGGGTTCCCCGCTAAACCGGGGATGGGACGAGGACGGGGATGCCCGTTTGTCTCAAACCGGGATGGGGACGGGACTGGTATCGCACTCTCCTCCCGCCCCACACCCGTTATATATATTTATTAAAAGATTTAATATATATTATTTATTTCAACTAAATATGTAATTCATAATGTCCTATTTCTTAACTAAATTTATAATCTAAAATTACTATTTTTTTTGGATGTTAATATATAATATTTTGGATGTGAAGTAAAAATACAATTATTCGATATGTTTTGAATATTACACGACATGTTTTGGTAGGTGTCGTTAAGTTATTTTTGTATTAAAATCGAATTTCTTTTGCTTTGAGGTTATTAATAATCATATGATGTGATTTTTTTGTATTAAATTAAATTTCTTTTGATTTTAACTTCATTAAAAACATGTGGGATTTAAACATGTGTGGTCTCTCAAATATTTAATTTGAAATAATTTACATAAACGAGAAAAAAAAATATGAATTTCATAAAGTATTTTTCAATTGCCACCACTACCACTCCCCTCCCATGCATAGGGGGTGTTAATAAGTCGAGATTTTAATGAATTATTCGAATTCGAGTCGATCTTGAATACACGTTAAAGCCCGTTTAACTTAACGAGTCGAGTTCCATGACACGAATATTCGATTCAGTTTGTTCGGCCGCTCAATTAAATCTTTAGAGTCGAATCAAATCGGGCCACTGGAGCATCCACTTTTTTAAAACAAACATGTTCACAAATAAATCATACAACCAAAACATACAAATTATTAAGGTGAAGCCAATAAACGAGCTAAATGATCTTGGATTTCAGCCCGCAAAGTGAGTATCAAGCTGAAACTTGAGCATTGAGAAAAATTTGAGATCGAGTCTTATTTTGGAAAAACGTCATTTAAACGCGAATGAAGCTCGAATAATCTGCAATTCGACTCGACCCGACTCATTAAGACCCCTGCCATGCACACCACCACTGTATGTAACATTGCTAGTCTACGCCTTATCCCGTTCAGCAACTGTATACTCCTCCCGCGATCTTTCTGTTTCATCTTTTCCTTCAAATTTCGTTGTAATTTTTACCATTAAGCTTTATATTTTCATGTATTAACCACAAAATAATAAACTATATGTATTTTCCGTCATATTTTGACCGTTTAGATATAAATGGCACATATTCAAAGCTGTGTATTTTTCTTTACTTTTATAGACTTCAGGCCAAACTTATGTCGTATTCCTCAACATCAACCTATTAAATTTCCATCTACTTATCCTTGACTTTGCACTATGATCCAATTTTTATTTAACAGTCGCATACGTTTGTTTCTAGAATACCAGATAAATTATATTTTAATGGGTAAATTGTTTGTCATTTATACATTCGATATATATACACACACACACACACATTTATGACAACGCCTATCAAGATTGAAGAACTTGGAAACTGAATTTTAAGCTTAAATATCGTTGTATATCTGAAAATAAAAAACAATGGCTTTGTTAAAATTCACGCGACACGTATTGAGCTGATTCAGATGATTATATACGTAAACACAAAAGATGTAGTAAATACATGAAATCCGTAGTCATTACGAAATTCCTGATTTAAGCTACGGTTTATTTCGTGTCAACTTCAGTTATAAGGACCATCCATCGAAAATATAGTCATACAGTATGACGTGACACTTTGAATCTGTATATTTTTTATTGATTTATTTGACTATTTATGAATACATTTTTTAACAGAGAAAAACTGTTATAATTATATTTTAAAATATTTTATTAAACTGTAATTAAGTCGTTTATCCGCTATTCGCCGACAAAGGTTTCAATAAATAAACAATTAAGGGGTTGTTTGTTTAGCTCTTCATAGTTTCATTAAGAGGTGGTATTTGAATCGTTAAGAGGTGAATTTTGTTTGGTAAAAAAAATAAAAAATATGTCTCTTAAATCTTAATGGTTCTAAAACTCTCCGAATGATTTTGTATCATGTATCTCCCTTAACCATTCAACATCTTAATTTCGTTGTGAATAATTATCAAACAATTATATTTCATTTTGCACTATATCATAAGAATCTTTTAATTATTTTGTATCAAACTATTTAGCAACTGCCAAACAACCTTAAGTCATAAGTTGTGAACATAAAATCCTGTATGTTACGTAATTATATGTACTTTTCCATTTTTTTGCTTAGAGTTTTTCTCTCTCTTTTTTATTTATATACATATAAATAAAAGATAAGAATGAAGAAAATAGGGGTGTGCAGAAAGTCATCTGATATAATTTAAACTGATTAATCCAATTAGAACCGAACGACCATAATCGGATATCCAGTTGTAATCGGATAGGATCCAAAATTTCCAGTTGTAATCCCATTTCTTACTTCAATCACATTAAAAATAAAGAAAAATTTATATAAAAAGGTAACGTACTTTAACTTGATTCATATTTTGGGTAACGTACCTTAAAACTTTCATTTTGATATATAATATGTAAAATTTTAAACATTTATATACCTGGGTAACCGGTTGAAGCATTAAATCTTTATTTTAAATAAACCACAATACATAAAAACTAATTTTAGATTAAGATATCCATGTCAGCAAATAATACTGAGTTGGATACCATATCACTAGCCACATCATCATGGTAACCGGTTAATGTTTTAACTTGTTACCAGAGTACTTAAATGTTTAAAGTTTTACATCTTAGGTACCACAATGAAATTTTTGAAAGTACATCACTGAAAATAGGAATCAAGTTAAAATACGTTATTTTTTTCATGCAATTTGCCCAAAAATAAAACACCAAAACCCCCTCTCGGATAGAAAACGATGACCATGGACACTACCCATGCCATATCTGGCAGTCTCATTCACAAAACACAAAAATGTCGATCAAAATACAGTTCGGTTGAAGCAAAATGATCGACGAACCCATATATACCAATCCTGAGGCAACCATTGGAGTAAGCTAGTCTGTCGTGACGAGAGGATAAATTCAATGGCACGACGATTATTGCCTTTAGACGATTGGAGTGGTTGGCAACTGGGCTTAAATACAATTTACGTTGTATGATGTAAGTGGTTGTTTGGTTAGTTTTTTTCCATTAAGTCATGTATGGATATAACTGTCTGTATGGATTAATCCGTTCGTATAGATTTGAAAGTTTTTTTGTTTAAGTGAGTTTTTTTTTTCCATAAATAGAAAGAACATGTTTTTTAATTTGGAATGAGCAAGTTTGAAAAAAAAACCGGTTTTCTGTCGTATAAACTTACTGAATAAGTCACTTTTAACATCATTAAGTTACTATCAAACAGCTGAATAAGCTATGAGTCCTATTAAATTACTAACAAACAAGCCCTTATCTTATTACATAAATATTAAATTTCAAATTAATTTCTAATAATTTTTTTTTATATAATTTTTACCCCTATAATTTGTATATTTTAATGGATTAATATTATCTGGTTTGGGCCAAATAATTGGGCCGCCATTTCATAAGCCCATTTCCACTGGGCATTTGAAATCGTTATTTAACAGTTATTGGACTAGGGTTTTGAGTAAGCAATCGCCTCTCCTTTTTAAGCCATCTTCTTGCCAAACCCTAGCTTTCTCTTTGTCATTCGAGCTCAGAGGCGCAGGAGGAGCCTTTCTGATCTGCAAATATGGGTATGTTTTACAATGGCTAAGCTCAAATTCATTCATCGGATTCGATTCACTCTTTTGTAATCAACATTTTCGTGATGCTATGAACACATTGATGATGGTTATTGGTTCGATTCTGTTGCAGGTATCTCTCGTGATTCGATGCACAAGAGACGTGCCACTGGTGGCAAGAAGAAGGCGTGGAGGAAGAAGCGAAAGTAAGTTTTCATCTGAACTGAGTTGTATATTCTGCATTTTTTTGGATTATGATATGATTTTGAAATTTTTCCAAGGTAGACAACAAATAGAAAGCTATAGATTCGAAATTGATATATATCTTTGCACACGCTACTTAGGGATTTTGATTGTTTTAAAATTCCATGAATGCAGCTTCTTACGGTGTGTTTTTTCAATTTATGGTTGATTTGTTTCTTGTTATACTCCTTTACCTTGTTTTTTAAGTGATTCCGATCATGATGATGTGAAGTGATATTCATTAGCATCAGATTCCTTAATGTGTTGGGATAGCCATTCTATATGCTTTTGATTTCAGACATTTCGGTGTTAACTTTTATATCCGCTCATATTCCGCTTTAAGTTGTCCTCTTCTTTGCTTAATCCATGCTATTTTGACTTCTATCCTAGTAGATGAAAGCAAATAACTTTTTTTCATGGGGTCTAGTATCATTTTTTATGCCTCTGATTTCAGACATTCTGGTGCATCTTGAAGGATGTAGTTAGCTCTTAGTTTCAATTTTGATTATGGGTAAATGATTCATCTAAATGATAATTAGAGAATTAGAGAAAAATCATTTTTTCTTGTAGAGATAGGTATCACCTATAGGGGTGTGAAAATGTCACTCTGGAATCATACTAGCTCACTCTAGGGCATAATTTGTTGATATCTTGTATGGACCAATCTTGTAAATTTTTTGAAGTTTTTTTTTTTGAAATGGGTATCCGAGCCAACGCTTGACTAATCCCAGGCACATCCAGGGCTAAAGCATGCCCCTTTAGTAAATGTCGCACAGGATGTGTGAAGAGGGGTTCGAACCTGGGTTCAGCGCTATGAACTGCCCAGGCACTAACCACTCCACCACAACACTGATTGACAAATTTTTTGAAGTTATCTATTAGTTGTTGAATAATTCATTGAATTTATCTGAATGATTGGAAAGAAATGTGAATTTATGATTCAGAACATGTGCTTTTGAAAATCTTGGTATTGTATATTTGTGCTGAGTTGGATAAGATTTGGATTTTTTCATATCATACGTATTTTTAGCTAAAACATTTTGGCATATTAACGTGTTCTGATTCAGCTTGAATTTTTTTAGCTCCTAACATGTATTTTTTTTCATTAACTTTGTTTTGCATAATGGTCTTAATACTCTTCTTCTTTCTCCCCTTAAAAGGTATGAGCTAGGAAGACAGCCAGCAAACACTAAAATATCGAGCAACAAGACTGTTCGAAGGGTCAGGGTTCGAGGTGGTAATGTGAAATGGCGTGCTTTGAGGTTAGATACAGGTAACTACTCTTGGGGAAGTGAGGCTGTCACCAGGAAGACACGTATCTTGGATGTGGTTTACAATGCATCAAACAACGAGTTGGTCAGGACCCAGACTCTAGTGAAAAGCGCAATTGTTCAAGTTGATGCTGCACCTTTTAAACAATGGTATCTTCAACACTATGGAGTAGACATTGGTCGCAAGAAGAAACCCGCAGCTACTGCTACCAAGAAAGAGGGAGAGGTATGTTATTTCTCTTAACAGTCTTTGGATTTATCTTGTTGTAGTTGAACTTACATTATGTGTGTGTGTATATATATTGAAGTATCTAATTTCTTGGTGTTGCATTATATATATTAGTTCAAAAATGGACTATTTAGATATACTTGCCATTGAGATACTTATCACAAGTTTAAAAAAGCAAAATCTCTACGCAAACATTTGCATCCATTAATGGCCAACTTTTAATTAATTTAATTATAGACAGGGTATTCAAGGTTGCGAGTGATATTTATCGTGTAATTTGAATTATTTGTAGGAGGCAGAGGCTGCTACCGAGGAGGCAAAGAAGAGCAATCATGTCGTGAGGAAACTGGAGAAGCGTCAAGAGGAGCGCAAACTTGATTCCCATGTTGAGGAGCAATTCTCAAGTGGTCGTCTATTAGCAGCAATTTCATCTCGCCCTGGCCAGTGTGGCCGAGCTGATGGGTATGTCTTTTTATCAACTTATCATTTTATTTTTTATTCAAATGCAAGTATCCAATCTATCAATTATATATATATACTATGCTGATCATACAAACCAAGCCAGCAGATATGGTGTAACTAGTATCATTAGGTCTTCCTGTTATCATTTACTAGAGATATTTAAGTATATAACCTTAAATGAGATTTTAATTAAATCCACGACTTTTTGGTGAAGTTTGCTTCTTTTCAAACGCTTGTGATTTGTCCAACTTCTACAACCAAGATTTTCTACTAAAATCTTATTTTCTACAACTTTTTAAACGCTCGGGGTTTTCATGTAACCCTCTTTACATTTTGTGATGTGGAGGTAATGGCTGCATACATCTTAACCTCTTCCGACCCCACTTGGTCTGAGATTCGTCGAGTTCATTTGGTTTGGTTTTTTTGGCGTGGCTAGAGTTACAAGTTCTTCTGTATCGGGTTTTTGTGGGTTTCTTCTCACAAACATTTGTCTGTATGTTGGCAGATACATCTTGGAGGGGAAGGAGCTTGAGTTCTACATGAAGAAGCTCCAGAAGAAGAAAGGAAAAGGTGCTGCTTAGAAGCATTTTGTCGTATCGAGTTTGAATTTATAGATTTTTATTTCCTTAAACCCTGTGAAAGGCATGGAACCGAAATTTTGATGTGTTATGTTTGTTAAAATGTGACTTTTTATGAATCTTTTAAGGGTTGATTTAATGTAAGCTTTACCCTACTTTTCATCAATACTGGTGCTATTGGTTCATTTACATTGTTTTGTTTATATTCCACCCATTCATGCAAAATTAGACGTTTTATTAGCAGTTTGATGAGGCAAATTTTGGTGTGACTTGATGATATAAAAAGTGGCTTATTCGGTAAGCTTTTAGAAGAGCTTTACATAAAAAGCCAAATTGAATCAAATCCTGCTTTTTCCGATTAAAAAACATGCTTTTTCATATATAAAAACACTTGTAAACAAAAAAATATTTCAATTCAAATGAACAACATTATCCATATTGTGATTGATTCATAGGATTGGACAAATTTAACTTGATTCTTATTTTAGGTATCATACTTTCAAAACTTACATTTTAATACTTAAGATGTAAAGTTTTAAACGCTTGAGTACTTGGGTAATTGGTTGAAGCATTAACCGGTTATCATGCTGATATGACGAACGATGTGGTATTTAACTTAGTGACATATTTTTTTAATCTAAAATTAATCTTCAACCCGTTACTCGAGTACTTAAATGTTTAAATTTTACATTTTAGGTATCAAAATGAAAGTTCTAAAAGTATGTTATCCAAAATAAGAATCAATTTAAAGTACATTATTTTTTCATGCAATTTACCATATAGAATTTAGAATGAATTTAATCTTTTTTAAATATTTGTTTGGTGAAAAAAGTGGATAAGAGATGCGATGAAAACAAATGAAATCTATCAGACCCCAGATAATGATGAGGTATTGGATCAAATGTAAGCAAACATATCATTTACCCCAAATAATAGAATTCACTTTTTTTAAAGACTCGACTTTTACAATGCAACGGTGTTTATGTTGACCATGGATATTCGGAGTAACTTCCACAAGTGATACCTTAAGGTCAATAGGCAGACATATTATTCAGTGACACCTCCATCGATTTCATGGGATCCTAAAGTTAACAAGCAGACAGATCTTCCGATAACCCTAAGAGTGCTTGAACCAGTGATCTTTTAAGAGCAAATCCAAGATCTTACCGGTTGAGCTACTCCTCAAAGTATGCTTATAGATGCTAGTCACAACATAGTATATGTTATTTAGACAAGTTGTAAGTTGTCATGATAAGTGACTCAGGTGGTGATTGTTTTTTGAAAATCACCTCTTAATCACCACTTATGTCTTACCATATAAGAAGTTAGTCCTTTCAGACCTTTTTATTGAACAAGTGGTTATCCTTATCCCACCTCTTATCAAGCATTGCTGCTAAACTGTTCTTTTACATCTGAAATGTATTCAGATAAACAAACACTTCATTACAACACTTCACAGAATAGTCTTATTGAAGGCTACATGTATGTGTATGCACTACAAATCAATACTCCAAAATCCAACTTCAACAATTACATAGACACTATTTCTCATCAATCTTTTAATTGAATGATTTCTTCCTATCGTAACGCATCTCTGCATGGTGGGATTGATCGATCTGCAATCATCGTATTAATGTTAAAAGATGGAATGGTTCAAATTCATTAAAGAGAAAGCATCATCACTAGGGGAGAGAATGGGAGCCCTTTGAGAAAAAGGAAGTCCTACAAGGTATGTCGGCATGAATAAGGGTACATATGATGCGGGTGTAATTGGTGTCAAAGTGATACTAGTTTCTTTCTTAAACCAAACCAACCCAGTATATCAAAAGAAGGGTCTAAGAGGGGTGGGATGTAAGTAGTCTTGACCAGAGGGTGGTAGGGAGACGGTTTTCGTGAACACCCAGTTTCTTTCCTATTTGAACCACTTGCATCGAACATGTGAAGTTAAAACCCTTAGAGCATCTCCAACAAATATTTTATAATTTTTCTAAAATAGAGTATCAAAAGTCAAAATTTCAAAAAATATTTACATCCAACTCCAAGTCTCCAACAACTACTTTATTTTGGAGATTTTAACATTAATTATATTATTAAAATATCCAATACGTGTCATAAAATATTATTTCTCTCTCTTACATATGCAATTTTAGAGAATTTTCTAAATTTGGAGATTTCCACCCTCTCTCTTCTCTTTTCTATTTTATTATACATTATAGCATAACTGTTGAAGTAAAAATATCTTAAATCTACAAAATCTCTATTTTAGCGTGTATGTTGGAGATAATCTTACATCTTTTGCTTTAACCGCTAAGAGCATCTCCAACGGCTATGCTATATTTTTCTTCTCTTCTAAATTTGGAGATTTCTCCATTCTCTCTTATTTTTTTCTCTATCTTAGAGGAGAGTTTAGCATAGTTGTTGGAGAATTTTTTTTCTCAAATCTCCAAAATTTCTAAAATAGTATAGCTACTAGAGATGCTCTAACAACCTCATTGTGCGAAATCCTATGGCGTGTGCGCTATTTGTTTCCTGAGTTTTCATACAATTACATATGCCTTCAAAGCAGAATTTGGATCACACTTTCATTTGAAGTAGTAAAAGAACTTTGATGTAAGCGATTAAATAGAGCATACCTACATCAGCAATGATCAAGTGTACTTAGACTTTAACTTCTCGTATGGGAATTGGTCATACCCATATTTCTTTCTCAACTTATCCTTCACAAAATCACCGCGGGCTTTTATTCGAGCTTGTTGGGGAGCAACGTGTACATAAGAAAGATGCAAACCAACACCAAATAAGGATGAACCACCAAGAAACAAAGCCACTGTCATCCACAACTTCTGAGGTGTTGAAGGAAAGCACAAAACCATCTCCCCTTTTACACACTGCCAACAAAAATAAGACCTGTTTGTTAGCAGCTTAATGGAACTTGCAACTTATTCGGACTGTTTGGTAGTGGCTTAATGGTATAGAAAGTGGCGTATTTGATTAAGCTTCTTAGGGGGGGGCTTTATGCAGAAAGACAAGGTTTTTTTTCCAAACCTGTCCCTCCCAATTAAAAAACACGCTCCTTTCATATATGAAAAAACCATTGGAAACAAAAGCCTTCCCGGTCTATATTAACGATTAATGTATACAGACAACTTTATCCATACAGGACTTAATTGGAAAACCAACTAAACAAGTGACAAAAGAACCAACACACAAATTATAGCCACCATTTTATTTTTCTCACCAAATACCCAAGAAACCACAAGTCAACACACGACACTTTCTTGCGGTGCCACAAGCTGCGACTTTAGCTTGCTTTTTGTGTGTCGACGCGTGCCATTGCGGTGTCTCAATTTATTTTTGCCGGACCCACTATTCATCTGGGTGCGTCAAAAAATGTCAGAAACCACAAGGAAAAGTGCCTTGCAACGTTGACTTGTGGTTTCTTGGCTATTTTATGAGAAAATGTTTGGAGGTGGCTAAAAAGTAAAACTATTTCCCCATGTGGTTATTTATGATGATAACCCCGCTTGTTTACATACTGTTGCTGACTCGTTCAACATCAGCTAGTTTACCTAAAGACAGATCTAACTGATGGTGCTAACAGAGCACCTAAATGGCCGACAACATTACCATCTCACTTACCAAGTCAGTGCAAGAAGATAAAGGTAGCACCGACTATAAACCACTTGGTAAACAACCATTTTCAAAGCTTATCCAAACCGAACATCTTACCCAGTTATCACTTATCCCTTACCCAATTTGTGTTGGTAAATAACTTAAGTGTAGAAAGCTTATCTTTAGCATTTGATTATAAACCAAGTACTTATTAGAAGCAAAATTGACATCTAATTTTTATAAAGCTCAAAACACTTGCAAGAACTTTCTTGAAAGTGTAGAATTTACAACAATCACAAAGTTTGACAGCAATCAAGGCATACTATATTAACATCATGTGGGAATATTTGGAACCCCATAATCACTCTCCAAAAAACCCCTAAGGTTCCAACACATTTACTAGAGAAATGGTCCGATGTGGGACTTCAACATGCCTTCCAACAGAGGGGCAGAGAGTCAAAAAGGGGCTAGCCAGAGTGTAGGGTCCCTAAAGTAGCAGACCTTGGCTCTGATTCCATGTCAGAAATGTGGAACTCCCGGATCACTCTCCGAAAGAGCACTCCAACATATATACCAGATAAATAGTCCAAGTTTGGCCAATATGGGACTCCAACATATCCCAAATGTAAATCTTTCATTTTTTTTGGTTTTGGGGGGGGGGGAATAACCTAATAAAATGAATTTCTGGTTCTTGCAATTGGACCCCCTTACTTAACCTCCCTTGGTATCTGAACAGACAATATGGAAAGATTCAAAAGCTCAATTCCCAGATTTGAGCCAACCAACTTCAGTTACTACCTGATTTTCATCCCTATCGATGACTGCTCAAATGAGTACCTAACTGGCATTTCGTCGAACATGTTACCGGCATTTTTGTTCGACACCCAACATATATAGATTTACCTCAAATCAAGTGATATACATACATACATACATATACACACACACATCAATATATGTATGCGGATATGCAAATTGAGAAAGGAAAAGATCAAAACGACATACCCACTTCGACTTGCGTCTTCTGATTTGGTCTCGAGAGGGCTCAAACAAAACGGGCTTACCCTCGATTCTATGAGAAATTTAGAAGTTAAATTACAAAATCACCTCCCAATTATTCTTAATGTTCATTTTCTACCCATTAAGAGCTAATTTTACACATTTTGCTTTGCAGTAAACTTTCTGTAACAATATGGTCCATACTCTGTTTAAATTCACGTTAGTCCGTTAGAGAAGATCACATATTTCTTGAAATATAGTTCAAATTCAAACAAGCATTAACCTCATTATGTGCTCTAATTAATCACATAATTAACTAATTAAGTAAATTGAGTTAAAAATAAATGTTATGTATATGGTGTACCTTTTAATGATCCAACATAATTGCATAATCGTACTGTTTTAGAAAATCAACTGAATTTGAAGCATATCAACAAATTATGCATATGCCACACAAGAATTTACTTCTCATTGTCGTCAAATGCTTATCCATGTTAAGGATGGTGATTTGCCTCGAACCAGTGGGGAACCCGACTCACCCGACCCGAACAGGAATGGGGATTTTTCCGCTAAAATGGATACGGGGATCGGGGATCCACGATAGACTCAAACTAACATATATTTTTCATGAGGTTTGACCGAGATTTGACTAGGGACGGAATGTTAATCCCTGTACCCGTTGAGGCCAGGGTTGTTATTAAAAACCGGGGTCGGGGATTACAAAACCGACACCATCCGCACCCCGTTGCCATGTCTAATCCATGTATATGTCTTTACACTGTGCAAAGAAAAGGAGTTGCTCAGCGTAAATACATAATCATGGAAATGCAGGGAATAAGGTAACACAAAAGAAAGGAAGTATGAACTTTCAGTTAATGACTAACATACCCTTCAAAAGTGTCGCCCATAAATTTTCATCAAAATTTGGTATTTTAAATCTATCGAGGGACTAAAAATGTTATAAACAAATTTAAGGGATGAAAAATAGAGATCAAGGAAAAGCAGTAGATCATTTATGTAATTTAATTCATACAGATAGATTCATTCACACTAGAGATGGCCAAATGGGCCCGGCCCGGCCCGGGACCGCCGGAGGACCGGGACCGGGACCGACAAAGGACCGGCCCGGGACCGGTAAGGACCGGTTATGGGACTGAAAACCGGGACCGGTTGAGGTTTTTGGTAGTTTCGTGGGACCGGGACCGACCGGTTATGGGACCGACTATGGACCGGCCCGGCCCGGCCCGAAAATTCAATTAATTTTATAAATAAATATATTTTTAAATAATTTTATAATGTATTTTTATAAAAAAACGTAATTTTAATTATATTAAAACGCATTTTTAAAGTGTATTTGAGTGACCCAATTGTAAATTTTATAATGTATTAAAAATATATATCATTAAAAAAATAAAATAAAAAATCTTATTTTTTTAATGAAGGACCGGGACCGGGACCGGCTGCCCATAACCGGTTATAAAGTACCTATACCGGTCCTATCATTTTCGACCAGGACCGGTTATGGCCGGTTATGAGAATGGTGAGGACCGATTGGGACCGGCTCGGGACCGGTTTTTGGCCATCTCTAATTCACACACACAAATGGGTAATAGAAAACAATCAAACGACTGATAGGTCATTGATACCGGAGATGCATGAAACTCAACCCATCCAAATATGTTTTCAAGAGTGTTCTAAAACGCTTACCACGACATCTGCTGTAACTCAAGACTCGTGTTTAACCCCATATTAAAACATGGTATGCCATGATCCAGTGATCGATGTTTGTAAAGCAATATTTGATTTTTCATTGGTTTTTAGTATCTTAGTAGTTTATAATATATATAATTTAATTTAAATTGTTTAATATTATTAAATAACGGTAGAATACTTGAGTATATACATATAATTATGTATGATATACAAATTTATCGCCATAGACTATACATTGAAAAATGTAGTGGCTCATAAGTTTTGAGACTGAACCTCACTGTCACGTTTAGAGATGGCCAAATGGGCCCGTCCTGGCCCGACCGGCAGAGGACCTGGACTGGGATCGACTTGTGACCGACCTGTCCAGGGACCAGTTGGGACCGTGTTTGGGATCGGCGGTCCGATACCGGTTACGATATTCCATCGAAAACAAGGCTCGGTCTAGGACCAGTTAAAGGCCTGGTCCAGGACCGTCCCGATTTTTTATTTATAAATTTATTTTTAAGTATATTTTTAAATGAAGTGTATTTGATTGAAGACTAAAATGTATTATGATGAAAACACATTTTTAATGTATTCGGTTGATTCAATTAAATATTCTAAAGTATATTTGATTGACCAAATTAAAAAAAAATATATTTTTATATGATAAAAGTCAATTTTAAAAAAATTAAAAAAATTAATTGGGACCGATTTAGGCCCAGTCTAGAACCGGGGCCCATTCTCATAACTGGACCTCATATACCTTAACCGGGCATTTCTTTTTGACCAACCGGACCGATTTAAGCCCTGCCCAACACAACATGACACCGGATGGGCTCAATCCAGTTTTCTCGGCCCAAAAAAACTTATGGTTTAAAAAACCCGACCCAAACGAACCCAACGTCACGACTCTCGACCCACCCGTAAAACCCGACCAAGCAATCCGGTTCTCGGTCTCTGGTCCAGGCCATGCCACCAATCCAGAATTACCCTCTCATAGTCTCGTTTCCTGCTTTCTTTCTCGCCGTCGTCGATATTGCCGGAGCTCGTCGAACCAAAATCGGAGGAAGCCCCATCGTCACGGATTCGCATTTTTCCGGTCTGTGTTGTTCTCTTATTCTCATTTAGGGTTTTCGTCATAGTGGAGTTGTTTCCCTGTTGTTTATGTAGGACTTTGAATTCATCAACGCCTCCTTTTTAACATCGATGGCTACATTGATTTGAATTGAATACAAGTTTCTTGTTTTCCGGCCATCTTTATCTGTTATTGCTGAAGAATTGAAGGATAAAACAGTTATATCAAGACAATTTTGGCATTGCTTTATAAATCAGTAGATAAAGTTTGTATTTTAGTTCTGGGTTTGTATAGGTGAAAGCGAAAGCTCTGGATTCCTGCCTGAGGTGACTGAAGAACTCAGCAACGAAGTCTAAATCCTGCATCTCCCATTTGTTTGTTGTAGTCCTCGGATTCCGCGGCCAGTGTTTGATTTCTTCAATTTCATTACTGGTATGTTCCATTCTTCAACTTCTTGTGTTAAATGTATTTGGTTCCACGACTGTTCTGTACTATATTTTTTGCTAAATTTCTTTGTGATTCTATAACCAAGTGTTTGATAAAATTTGTCAATGAGAAAAATCAAGCTAGAAATTGCTAGATCGGTTATTGAAGAACGAAAATCTATTTTAGTGATGATATCCATGTTTATGAAAGCCCAACTCTTAAGGTACCTAGGCTCGTGTTTCTGCACTTGTCATGAAAAATCTCATTAATTTGAATGAAGAACCTGGCAATTAACTTATTGGCTAACAGATCAAGTAGTTAGGGATCCTAGAGTTCAATTGGATGACTGAGACTGACTGGATGAGCATGGTTTGGGATCTTTAGTGCTGATATCGTTATCAAAATGTGTGCTTTACGACCTTAATTCTCATATCTTCATTGATTATAATGTAATTTTAACTTATGAAGGGGATTTAACGGGAACCAACAAGGGAAATAACAGGGTTCCAGTGATGAAGAGTACTGCTTAGTCAGTGAGGTGAACTCACGCTTGGTAGAACTGAGGCATCTAAGATATATGGATTTGAGTGGGAATGATTCAAGAACCTGCAAATCAGGCTACATTATATGATTTTGGAACGTGTAAGGTCTTACAATAGAACATTACAAAAGTCTATTAGGGGTTATATTTCTTGTCCATGATGAGGTCATAATTTACTTTGAAAGAAGCATGAAATGTGGTTACCTTTTCTTTGATGTATTTCGGTACGACGAAACTTCTATCAACTATTTATATAGCATGAAAGTGTTACAACTGGGGATGGCAACATGGTGAGTAATGTGTGGGACCCGCCATCCCAATTGCCAACGGGTTTGGCGGAAGTAATCCCCACTAATTATGGGAACCTGTTGGGTATCCGTGTAGTAAAAACTAATAATAGTAACAATATCATCCCCAACCTCGCCCTGGACCTGCTTCGGGTATTAAAATAACCCCTTATTCCCACCCGTTACCTGCCAAGGTGGGGAATCCCATAGGTCAAATTTCCATATCTGGTTAAAACATTCCAAAATACATGCAATTAATGTTTTCTTTAGTGATTTCGCAAAATAATCATATTATTTGGTTTCATCGATGAAGTTTTGATCCAAAGATTACATTATTACAAAATAAAGATAACAAATTGACTTCTGTCTATAAATTCATCTACTTTCTAGGTTTTCTAAATATCTGAGTAATAGTCAAAACACTCGGATAAACTACGTGTCTACTTGATCATTGCATTTATTTTGAGACTGGAGGTATTAGCTACAAGCTGCCATATTTTAGTGCATTCCTTAGTCCTTAACCATCATATCTAACTTTTGTTTCAAACAAAAAGGCATCCTCAAGTAAATGCAAGAGATGAGCAATTCTGGAGAAAGAAATGCCATGCATGCTTTTTTTTGCATTTTATTTTTTGTACTTTGTCTAAAATTGCTCATTTATGGAAAAAAAAAGTAAAAAGTGTTTCAGTCAATTGCAATGAAAAGCCAAGTGCAATGGTTCAAAATGTCGTTCACTCCATTTATTCACTCCTGCCACTTCTTGTTTTTATCTTCTCCATTCAAGTTTCTCCTTTGAAAAGCATGATTTTTGAAGTTATAATTGTCTTGGGTTCTGATTGAAATTGCATTCCCTCGACTTCCTCTGAATGTGAATTAGATCAGCCTTCATGGCCTTCGCGATCACATCTGTGGTAGATATTGCAAGTTCATTGTAGCACAATTTGATCCAAATGTCTTCACAGTCTTTTATCCGCAAGTAAAAGAAACTTTCTCGGGGCAGCTCTATTTTGTTCGAGAGTGGAATAAACAATGCTCGCAAATCAGAAGTTGTTCGTCCATCTGAACGGGTAAGCTTAATTATGAGCTCCAGGTTGGGACTTTTCTATAAAACTAAGGGGCTGTTTGGTTGGCGTTCCATTGAGTCTTGTATGGATAAAAGTTGTCTGTATACATTTGGAAGGTTTTTTCATAGATGGAAGGAGCGTGTTTCTTAATTGGGAGAGACATGTTCTGAAAAAACTTGGCTTTCTGCATGAAGCTCCCCCCAGAAGCTTATTAAATAAGCCACTTTCTATATCATTAAGCCATTACCAAACAGTCAAGTATAGCTGACTGAATAAGTTGCGAGTCTCATTAAGTTGATTAAGCTGCTAACAAACAAGCCCTAAGGCAATTTTGATGTTCAGGGGCATTAGGTTACCAATTACTGTACAAGGGGCTTCAAGAAGGGTTCTCTCTTTATCTTCTTCAGATATGAAAGCAACAAGGTATGCATTTGATGATTAACTTTCTTATTTTCTTGTTTGTATTTATACAAAAGGAAAGGACAGACGAGGGCTAGGTAGGCGGCTGAAAGAAGTGTGCGAGGTTTTAGGGTTTAATTTGACATGGGTAGTTTAGTAATTTATCAATCTTGTCCTATTTTCTTGATTTTGTTTAACCAATGCATTTTTGTCCCACTTTGTCTTGTCCTATCCCCGTCTTAATGCCACACCAAATGTGGGACAACAAGTTTTTGTTTTATCACTTTTTGTCCTGCATACCAAGCTCGCCCTAATTGATATATGCTTCGAGTTATTGACCTGTCTCTTTATTTGTGTGCAAAGCCAACAGGTAGATGACGGTATGCCTCTCTCTAAACAACTGTCGTCTGTGGCAGGTATTCTCATTTTCTTGCATTTCAAGCAAATGGGAGGGCCCCAAATTCCCAATGCATCTATATTTCGTATGTGCTCAATGATGCGACATGTCCGACAGCTTTTGTATAATTTCTCTAAAACAGATTACATTCAACTCCAATAGTTTCTCTATTTTGGAGATTTTAGTATTAGTTATATTATTAAAATATTCAATACATTGAAACCCCAACACATTTTCAAATAATTATTTTATAAAATTGTAAACTAAAATTTTTGGAATGTTCTTTTGGAAAGGCCCGTTTGGTTTGCGGGATTTGGTGGGATATGGAACTAGATTCCATTTCAATCCCACGTTTGGTTTAAAGAAAAACCCAGAATTGAAATCCCACAAACATGGAATTTAGAAATCCCATTTGGTATTTTGCAGGATTTCATAGGATTTGTTGGTAATAATGTTATAAAATATGTTAAAAATACTTGTTTTGTAATAATCAATTAATAAAAAGATAATTTAATTATTTCTTTACTTTGTTTCTAAAAATTAGTTATAAAGAATGAAATTCATTTCCATTCCAAATCGTACAAACCAAACACACCAAAGATTCCAAATCCAATTCCTCCTTCTTCCAAATCCCTCAAAAACATTCCGTCTAACCAAACAGACCCTAATATCCCAGAATTTTCCATTTTGAAAAATCTGTTGGAGATGGTCTAAAGATAACATCATGCTGTGTTCGTTTGTTTATTTCCAACTGTATAATTTGTGTCTAGGAGGGATCGTAGCTTTGGGAAAATTCGATGCACTGCACATCGGTCATCGTGAGCTTGCTGTTCAAGCAGCAAAAGCCGGCACCCCGTTCCTGCTATCATTTACCGGAATGGGAGAAGTTCTTGGCTGGGAACCTCGGTATGCAATTCACTTTACGGAATTCCCTTGTTTTTGTAAAAGAAAGTCTTGACATCTAAGTGGTCGAATCGAACAGGGCTCCTGTAGTTGCTAAATGTGATCGTGAACGGGTGCTTTCGTCTTGGTCTGCTTGCTGTGGAGAAGTGACCCCCACAGAGCTCGAAATCGAATTCTCTAAAGTCCGCAATCTGACCCCACGCCAGTTTGTGGAGAAGTTATCAAAAGAGCTCGGTGTCCGTGGCGTTGTAGCAGGTAAAAATAACATGAACAAGTTTTTAGCATGTTTGATGTCCATGATCCATTTATTTTCCAACGGTACTCGTTGCTTCTTTGCATACACTTTCACCCTTAGCCTGCTTACTTGTTCCTTTTAGTTTTTGTTGTCGGGGGTCTTCACGTAAACCGTCTCTCTACCCCTTGGTATAGAGGCAAGGCCTGCATACATCCCAAAGGTGGACCTATAAATTTCTTCAAGTGCTGGCATTATTTGACTATAAGAAATGAAACAATGGATATTCTCTACAAAATCATCATTGGTCTGTTGGTTAGTTTCTTTTTTTTCTATCTGATGTCCTGTGTTCGAGTCTGTTATCCCAATTTTTTCAAAAACATAATAAACCTGAAACTAAAAGCTAAAAACTAAGAAAATGATACAAATGAGATTAAAACCCGCGCCTGGAAGGCAGAAAAGACCGTGCTAACCAACTCTACCAAGAGAAACTTGTGTTATTATTGTAGTTTCAAGGAATATACAGTTGCTCCTTTAACCTGACACTTGGTAAACAATCGTTTTTAGTCTGCGCTTACCCTTACCGCACTTTTACTCTGTTAGACTTACCCGATATGTGTTGGTAAACAGTTTGGTATTTAGCATGTTTGGCCTCAAAAGTCTAACTGTCACTGTTATGTGTCGGTAGGCAAAAACTATCGATTCGGTTACCGAGCTGCAGGGGATGCATCAGAGCTATCGAGATTATGTGAAGAGTACGGTATAGAATCATACATCATAAACCCCGTGATGGACAAGAAACAAAGCATATTAAACAGAGGATTTAACGATGCAAAAGAAAGAGGACAAGTTTCATCTACCCGTGTTCGTTATGCACTTTCAGAAGGAGACATGAAATACGTTTCCGAGCTTCTCGGTCGCCAGCATCGTCTAATCTTAATGCTGAACGATCAGCAAAGCTTTACGATCGATAGAAGCAGGATATCGTTCCCCAAATCCCGCTTGTTGAATCTTCCACCAAAAGAAGGCGTCTATGAAGATTGTCGTATCGTATTTGGTAACGATGATGTTGTAGCTTGCAGAGTCGTCGTTGAAACGACGGATATTCGTTTAGAGTTGGTAGAGATAGATCGAGTTTACGATCCCAACGATTCACGACACCTGAATATTGAGTTTGGTGCTTGAAAGCAGCTATTTAGAGTCGAATATGGGGTGTTACATATATATTATTTCTAACTTATAAACTAGATTTTGTAGTTCACTTTGAAATTTATTGTAATTCCACATTTCACACAAAAAAGATGAACAAATAGGAGTGTAGAAAAAACCCGAAACTGAATAGTTTACCTCTTAATAATTCCAATAAGAGGCAGTATCTGAATCGTTAAGAGGTAAATCTTATTTGGCAAAAAAATCTTTTAATAGTTCTAAAATTCTTTGAATAATTTTGTATCTTGGGTCTTCTTTAACCATACAACGCCCTAATTTCATTATAAACAAAAACCATACAATTATATTTCGTTTTGCATTATATTATGAAAGCTCTTAATCATTCTGCATCAAATTAAATTATTAATATTGTTGTTATTTAGTCATAATTTTAAAATGTGAAGTCAACCTATTTACCTTTCTCTAGTTCGTCCAAAAGAACTATTTCATTAATAACGATAGATATTATTTTTTTGGGATCAGATGTAGGAAAAAACTGTAAAAAATAAAAAACTATAAAAAATAAAAAACTGAGAAATATTCTGGCAACTCTTGATCTAGATATGATGCACATGTCCACATAAGTAATTTGAAAGCAATTTGTTCGATATGTACATGTGCATAACATGTGCACGTGCATAAAATCGAAAAACAACTCCAGTTACTTGTATGCACATGTGTATACCGTCCAGATGAATGGTTTTAGGGATGTTTGTTTTTAAAAAAAGACGAAATTATAGAATATTTTAATAATATAATTAATATCAAAATCTTTAAATAGAAATTACGTTTGAGTTAAATATAATTTTTGTTATAGATTTCAACTTTGTGATTCATTTAAATCGGAGATTTTAACTAAAAGAATCTTTTTGGAAGGTATTATTATTAATATATTATATTTTTAATTATTTATTAAATAACAATTTTAATCTTGATAATAAAGAATGTCTCACAGTAAAATGAGAAAAATACAAACAAAAATAGAAACGTGATGATTTATTTTTAGGACGAATGGAGTAAACCGCTTATCAATTGATGAACAATGTGACCCTAGAGTAAATTTACGTATTTAGTCCCTGTAGTTTGTTGAATATTTCTATTTTTGTCTTTATAATTTTGAAATAATGATCTTAGTTTTATATTGAATATTTTATTGTCGTTTTCGTCCTCATGATTAAAATCTTATTGCTTTTTTCATTCACGTGAGACCAACCTGTTTTTGTGAAATCCGAAGACTATTTTTTACACTTGAAACTTAACAACAAAACGTTGTGAAGGTAAAAAAATCCGAACCTTTACAACATTATTTTACCTTCACAACATAAACACTGTGAAGGTTAAACGTTGTGAAGTTTTAAGTGTAAAAAAATGGTCTCACGAAAACAGGTTGGCCTCACGTGATCCCAAATCATAGTATATTGGAAGCAACGAGTCTCACCTTCAGAAAAATTGTTGAAGGCAAGTATCCAACGAAAAACCAATTATCACGAACTGAATAACCCGAAAACCGATTTAAACCAAACAAATAAACACCCTATAAACAAATAAGAGATCTCTTAAATTCTGTTACATTGATTTGTTCATCAGTACATGAATAAAGATCCAACAAGAATAGCCAAAGAAGAAAGCAAAATGCTTGCAATCGGTTTTGATGATGGAGAACTCGTTGTCGTTGGAGACGGTGTTGTCGACCCGTTACCAGAAGATTGTGGAGGTGGTGTCGTTGTAACCGGAGGGATTGGTGCATCAGCCAGGTCAGCATCGGTCAGGACCGGATTGGGAGCTCCAGCTGGTGGTTTTGACCCGGGTAACATTTCTCGGACCAATTCGCCAGGCCTTGCAGCAAGAGCGAAATCGGGGATCTGATCATCTGGAAGCTGTAAACACTTGTTCCCTGTAGTTTCCCCAAGAAAACAAATGAAAATAGATTCTAGATAATTAGATTTCTTACCTTTTTTTTATATGTTTTACATTGTCGAATGAGTCGTTTACTAAATGCTTACTCGATAAGTGTTTACTGGGTCATTGGCGTTACCAAATAAACACGGCAAAGACCAAGAATCTTAAACGGCAAGAGCGATGATAAGGATGGAAGAGTCAATAAAAGGCTGTTGGGTTGGTTTTTTATAAGTCATATATGGATAAGATTGTCTGCTTAAATAATCTGTCTGTATAGGTTGGAAAGGCTTTTGTTTGAGAGAGTTTTTTCAAAGATGGAAGAAGCGTGTTTTGTAACTGGGAGGGACAAGTTTGGGAAAAACTTGGCTTCATGTTTAAAGCTCCCCTTAAAAGCTTACTTGATAAGCCACTTCCTATATAATTAAGCCACTACCAAACAGTCAAGTATAACTGACCGAATAAGTTGCTAGTCCCATTAAGCTCATTAAGCAGCTAACAAACAGACTCTAAGTGAGGGCGACGACTCTTGCCCAGTTAGCGCATATTATCGGGTAAATTGTTGCATACAATATCGTTATCTTACATGATAAAGTAAGTTAGAGTGTTGATTTTTACCGGTAAGTGCTTACTACATAAGCATTTGAGCAAACGGCCCCGAAATCTTTTCGTCGTACAGTTTCACAAGCCAAAGGTCTTTATAGAATCAGATGTTTTACCTTTTGAGATAGAAGACATGTCTGTATACATCCAGACGACCAGACCCTACTTTTGAGTGGGATCTACTCGGTGTTGGTGATTTTGGTGTCATCGGCCATTTGGTATAAGTGAGAGTTATAAGAGACTGGTAAAGCTATAATAGGATTTAGGTGATGAGGAGTGCAGGGGCAGATCTATGAAGGCACCAGCGGGATCCCATGAACCCACTCAACCGATTTTCTCAAGTAGATTTTTCGGGTATGAAAGGTGCACTTGTTAAACTTTGAGGGGTTGTTCCGAGATATTAGAAAATACAATAAACATCAACCAAAAAACCAAAAAAGTCCCTCGAAATAAACCAAACAACTGAAACAGAGTATCAAAATAAAACGGAAAAACTCACTCGAAATCAACCAAAAAAAAGGGAAAAAGTTCCTCGAAATCAACCGAAAAAATCGGCCATTTGGTATAGTTGAGATTTATAAGAGACTGGTAAAGCTATAATACGATTTAGGAGATGCGGAGTGCAGTGGCATCTATGAAGGCACCAGCAAGGTCCCGTGAACCTGCTCAACCGATTTTCTCAAGTAGATTTTTTGGGTATGAAAGGTGCACCTGCTAAACTTTGAGGGGTTGTTCCGGGATATTAAAAAATACAAGGAACATCAACCAAAAAACCAAAAGAGTCCCTCGAAATAAACCAAACAACTGAAAAAGAGTCTCAAAATCAGCCAAAAAACGGAAAAACTCACTCGAAATCAACCAAAAAACTTAAAAATTCTTTGAAACAGTGGAATTTGGCTAAAAACACAACAAATGACTTTGGGGGCCTTTGATCCACCTTAAAGGTGAACCCACTCGGTAAAAATCTTGGTTCCGCCACTAGCAGAATGCACACTTGTCTAAACTAACTTGAACCCAGGATCCCCGATGGTGGTGAAAGGGGCAGCGCCCTTGCAGACTCGAGGCAGCACCACGAAACCTAAACTATATGCATAACTAGCTGACACTGAAGCTGATGCGTTCAGTGTCTGATGGTTTCAGTGGAATATTGATCAGTGAGTGTTCATTCAGTGATGCTGACAAGTGTGTACACTCACCATGGGTTAGGTTCCAGTGAGAAGGGTAAGAACGGATCTCCATCTTGGATCAATCCTAATTGAAGATCAACACTAATGAGATGCACAAAAATGCATCTGATCAATTTCCATGAGAAGCGAAATTAATGGAATGGGGGTGAGATTAAAAGTGATCAAGAGTCCAAATCCCTTCTTACGCTTCTCACCTTAACTCATATTCACACATGATCCTTCGTCCACTCACCATTAACACATTGGATAATGTAATGTAGATCGAGACCAATAACAACGTTAAGAGTAATCTCAAATATAGCAAACTTACTTCTGTATCTGGCGGCAGTGGCCGGGTAATTGGTAACAACACCATCAACGCCAGCTCCCATGACGTACGTGACCATTTCGCAATACGGGTCTGAAAAAAAGTCCCACGGCTGCGACACAAACTCATTGCTCATTATCTGCACGTATACCGGGAGCTTAAACGCCTGAAGTTTCTCCACAACATCAGTTTGACCAAAAAGAAATCCGTCATGACGAGGATACACAGATTCCTTGCCAATGATCACTGATTTAGCAATATCGCTGATCTCTGAGATGGTTGAGTTATTGGCATCACGGATATTTTCATCGAGCTCATAAACAAGCTCATGCCTATTGCTTCTTGCCTTAAATAATCTCAGAACCGATATCTCAGAAGATTCGATCAATATCCTTTTGGTTGTTTCGTTGTAATAACTAGATTTATTCAAGACGTCCATCACGGCATCTGTTACGCTTAATCCTTGATGTTTTGCTAGGTAGGCTGCATTCTGAAGTTTAAGTAAAAATAATAATTTCAGTTTTATTTTTGGTGCTAGCAACAAAACGAAACATGCAACCACCGCTACAATAAAATTATAACACGCCAAATTTTTCTAAATGTCCTAATAGACTACTTTATAGGACTAAAGTTTATAGGATCAAACAATTATGCGTCCTATACAAAGGTGTTAGAACGTATTTGGGCATCATAATAAGTTTTTTATAGGAAATAAAGTGTCCTATTAGCTTTTTTATAGTACACTTTTGAGAAGTGTCTTATGAACACTATCTTTTTACAGGACAGTTGTTTTTACAAGACATTTTTCCAAATAGTGTCATATAAAAAGACTAATAGGGCGTTTTATTCCTAAATTGTCCTTAATAACTTGTTAGGACGGCCAAAAACATCCTATCAACTTATTGTAATACCTTTACCTAGGACTCCCAATTGTTTAGTCCTAGAAAACAGTCTATTAAAACATTTAGACATATTTAGCGTCCTATAAAGCCAAGTTGGCTCTGAAGAGATCTTGAAGAACACAAACTCACCTTGATGTTGAGCAGGACACCAGAAACAGAAGTAGCATTACTTGCAAATTCCAAAAAGTCGGATAACGTCATAAGATTTCCATCGTTTTTGAATTTCGGATTGCGGAACAAGGTGTTATTTTTATATGGGTTGTAAATTGCAGCTAACAATAACATAAAGCATAACAACGAAATAGCATATCAGTAACATGCATTGTTGAAAGGCTCAACCAATGCCATGAAAGGAGTAGCAAACTAACAATTAACAAGCAGACTATATCCAAATTATCAAACACATAGGGCTGTTTGGTTGGTTTTCCATCAAGTCATGTATGGATAAAGCTATATGTGTGGATTAATTTGTCTGTATAGATTGGGAAGGTTTTTATTTGGAAGAGTTTTTTTCATAGAGGGAAGGAGCGTGTTTTTTAATTGAGAGGGGCTGGCTTTCTGCATAATGCTCGTCTCTAGAAGCTTACTGAATAAGCCACTTTCTATAGCATCAAGCCACTACCAAACAATCATGTATAGTTGACCTATAAGTTGTGAGTCTTATTAAGCTCATAAGCTGCTAACAAACAGGGCCTTATACTCTTATAATCATATCAAATTATCAATCACATCAATTTCATCCAACTCGGATCAGATTATCAAACGTAAATCATCTAATATAGTTAAAATGACAAACATTCTTCTTCCAAAAAAATTATGTCATATTGTCCCATATTCGCTCAATATCTTAGTCGGTTTGATTCCATTGGACGAAAGTGATGTAATTGATATGACTACGAGAATACAGATATTTGCTTGACAAACGAATCTCAGCATAGGTATGTGATTTATAAATCTTTTAGTTCTAACATATAATCAAGGAAAATGTGAAGGTCCAGTAACGTTTTTATTTATTTGCATATTAATGTAAGTGGCGTATCTAGGACTTCTGACTAGGGTATGCACTACAATAATCTGGTTCCATGTGAGGCTGATGTTGGAGTCTCGCATTGGCTAGACTTAGACCATTTCTCCTCCATATATGTTGGAACCTCCCTTCTCACCTCAAGGGCCCTTTTACTTTGTGTTCTAGAAACCGTTCTTACAACGGAAAAGAAAGGGAAGGAAATGTAGGGGAAAAAGCATGTGTTCACAAAACTTTTTACGAGGAAAAAAGGAATATGCGGGAAAAATAAATGATATGTTCCTTCCCAGATATGGGAGAAATGGAAATGAAAGAAATGATAATCCTTGCACAATTTAGTAAAATTACAAAACTACCCATCAATTTAACATCATGAAAATTAACATAAAGGGTATAATTGTTCCTTTCCTTCTTTTCTATCCCGTTCAAGAACATGAAAAATTGTTTCCTTCCCATTCTCACCCTTCTATCTCCTCTTTCAATAACACAAATAAAGAACTATTTTCCTTTCCTTTCTTTTTTTCTTCTCAAATTCGAGAACACAATGTTAGAGAAAGATTCAAAGGGGTTCCACATATCCTCACGGTTGAAGAAAGGTATATTTAATCAAGATTTGAGTAGAAAAGCGGTAAATAGATTACTTACGTCTCAAGCTCTTAATCTGGCTCCATGTGAGGCTGAAGGTATATATTCCAGCATCAGACTGAAGTTCTGGAATGCTTGATGTAAAGTTGCTAAAATCTGACCCAGCAACTGTTGTCCTATCAAGGAGGTTTATGGAACCCAAGCAAATAGGGACTCCATCGCTTGTCATCTGAAGGGGACAGTCGATGATATCTGCACCATCAGAAACAGCTTTCCGATATGCTGAATCGCTACAGCCAGGGAAGTCCCCACTTGCTCCTTCAAATGAAATAATTAAAGGCTTTTCTGAAGCAATAACAAAGGAGATACTGATTAGTTTCACATTGGCTGGATAAGGACCATCAAACTTTTATGTATGTAGGAACATCCCCTCTCTCTGTAAGGGCTCTTTTAGAGAGAGATTCAAAAAGGTTCCACATATCCTAGCATGGTATCAGAGCAGACGTCTACCACATTTAGGGACTCAGCACACTCTTTCCCTTTTGTTTTTGGGGTTTTTGAGAGGGCGTGTTGGAGTCCCACATCGACTAGATACGGACCATCAGACCTATATATATATAGAGTCAGGTTCTGCGGAAAACTGGAAAAAATGAAAAAACTGAGGAACACTCTAGTAATCGTTCCTCTAGACGGCATGCACATGTGCATACAAGTAATTTGTAAGCAATTTCTCCGGTATGCACACGTGCATCATATGGACGCACACATAAAAACCAAGAAACAATTTCAATTACTTGTATGCACATGTGCATTCTATCCAGATGAATAGTTACCACGGTGTTTCTCAGTTTTTCATTTCCTGGGGGATTTTCCACTGAACCTTCCCCCCCCCTTCTCTCTCTCTCTCTATATATATATATATATATATATCTCTCTCTCTCTATATATATATATATATATCTCTCTCTCTATATATATATATATATATCTCTCTCTCTCTCTCTATATATATATATATATATGTAGAAACATCCCCTCTCTGTAAGCGCTCTTTTAGAGAGAAATTTGAAAGAGTTCCACATATCCTAACATGGTATCAGAGCCGATGTCTACCACATCTAGGGACTCGACACACTTTTTCACTTCAATTCTTCATTTCTTGGGATAGAGTGTGTTGGAGCCCCACATCGGCTAGACACGGACCATCAAACCTGTATATATGTAAGAACATCTCCTTTCTCAACAAGGGCTCTTTTAGAGAGAGATTTGAAGGAGTTCTGCGTATCCTAACACTAATAGCCATCCAAGAACATCAAAGGCAGAAATATAAACATCAATCGATTGTATTAGAATGTATAATATCCAAGATGACAGACCTTGCTGCGATTGATTTGTCCCCAGGTGAGAATAGCAAGCTGCAGGATGGAGAAATATTAGCTTCTAGAAGGGAATGAAAATAGAGAAAAAACACATGTTATATTGCAGGGAAAGATGAATTAGGTTATAAGCCATTAATGCACCTAAAGTTCAACTATTTCAAAATTATAGACTGTTGTTCCACCAGATAAGGTTAGATGTACAACTTCTTGTCTAATGAGAAGAGATTTAACATGTAGTCAGAAGTAATTTATTTTTATAAAGTGAGTAGCCAAAGTTAAAAGCAATTCGAGAATTTAGCTTAATGACCTTCCCAAGAAGCTGGTTTTGCAAAATGACCCTCTAATATATTTTTTTAAGTTTGATGGGTTTTTAACTAGGATCATGCTGTTTTGAATCAGAGGCAGGTCAGATGCCGGTCATGAGCTAAAATATTTTTAGAATGTTATGCTCCTAATTGTAAATTTATCCAAAGGACCCAAACCGATTTCCAATATATGCATAGTAGTGTCATGGGAACCTTCAGTGCTAAACTGGCAAATAAAGTCTAGGCCTTGAGGCTCCTCCCCATAGGTCGCCAATTCGTGTCAGAGTCACTTAGGATTTTTCTGGCTGTTATCTTTGGGACCCATGGGATTAGTCGTGGTGCGTGCAAGCGGGTCCGAACACACACGGTTACAATAAAAGAGTAGTGTCACGGGAGTTAAAGGGTTCCAAGCTTACCAAAAGCTAGTGATGGAGTTATTGGATTGTCAGAAATCACACCATCCACAGAGAATCTGCCATTGTTAACGAAATTCAGATACTCTGTTACAGGATCATAGCTGTAGTTATATGGAAGTGGCACATCGTTCATAAAATCCGAAGCAAAAACTTCTAGCCCTTCCCTGTGAGCGTCCAAGACCAAGGAGGTAGATGGTTGTAAATACAAGTCACTACCCACAGGCCAAATATATGATTTAGGAACTAGAATCCCAGAAGCAAATGTCTTGATAAATGTCAAATTTTTCAGAAGAGAACCATATTTTTCCTTGGTTAAGGGTTCAGTCTCATCCACCTCCAGAAATCGGAAAATTAGCTTTGTGGTGCTTGATCTGAAGCTTTTCAGAATACTTTTTAGGAAACCCACCTCTGGTGATGATATATATTTGACCACACCACTTCTAGAAGCAGAAATTACAAATTTTGTCATACTCAAATTGTGTTGGGTGAAAAATGCATCGTGCTGCAAAAGCAAAAAGAAAAGGGAGGTTAGTAATAGATAACAACCACTACAACAAAATTGGCTTTATCGTTCACTAAATATGTTAAATTGTCCTAATAGACTGTTTTATAGGACTTAAGTTTATAGGATCAACCAATTATGCGTCCTATCTAAAAGTGTTACAATAAGTTGAGAAGACTCTTTTGGGTGTTCTAACAAGTTTTCTACGACACTTTTGGTATAAAACATCCTATTAGTCTTTTTATATAATATTTGAAAAAGTGTCTTAATAAACAACTCTATAAGAAAATGTGTTCATAGGGCACTTCTAAAAAATGTCCTATAAAAAAAACTAATAGAACAATTTATTTCAAAAATGTCCAAAAAACATATTAAGAATTCTATCAACTTATTGTAACAGTTCTACACAGGAGTTAGGGCAGGCAATTGTTTGGTCCTATACCACAATTTATCTGGACATTTAGACATATTTGGCGTTCTATAAAACCAAATTTGTTGTAATGAACAGCTATCCTTTCCATAAACTTCAGGAATCTCTTTACATGAAAAATAGTTGTCAACATCATGTAACTACTGATGTACAAAGTAAAAACCACCTGGATATTCAACCACAGTCGTCGTCGAAGGTTCATGCTAACAACATCTTCAACAGTAAGGATGTTATATATACCATCATAATATGGAATCCGTGAAAGGATGTTCTGTGTTACTGTTCAGTGCAAAAAAGGAACCGTCAGTTTTGGCAAGACGTGATGATAACTTAAAATAGCAGCAAAACAGACACAGAGGGTGGGGAATCCGACACCAAAAGGTTATTCAACATCTGGATCTATTCTGTGTTGGGAAGCAGAATCGTCAAGTAGAAAATGGGAATACTTGCTATTGGAGTCCCACATCAGCTACACTTCCTCTTCAATATACATCGGAACCCCCCTCCCCCTCAAGGGCTCTTTTGGAGAGTAATCTAAAGGGGTTCCACATATTCTCACTCGGTATTAGAGCCAAGGTCTACCACTCTAGGGACTGGCACTCTGGGGAAATATGTACTCGTCTAGCCCCCCTCGGATATGTGCCCATTTAGCCTCTTTTGAAGGCGGCATGTTGGAGTCCCACATCGGCTAGACTTGGGTTCCTTCCCCTCCTCAAATGCTCTTTGGAGAGTAATCTAATGGGGTTCTGCATATCCTCACATGGTATCAAAGCACAATTTAACACGTAGGTTGTTCAACAGAAGTCTCTCAATAATAGCTTACGGAGTTATAGACCTCCTTTGGGTTAAAGCCATTGTGGCTTGTTTCTCATTCACTCTTTCACAAACATAAAAGAGGGTCTACTTTGTGGTTTGCATTTAACAGTCAATAATAACATCTAGGTTGTTCAACAGAAGTCTCTCAATAATAGCTTACGGAGTTATAGACCTCCTTTGGGTTAAAAACATTGTGGCTTGTTTCTCATTCACTCTTTCACAAACATAAAAGAGGGTCTACTTTGTGGTACATGGCACACAAGAACAGTGAGCATTGCATTTAACAGTCAATAATAATTGAATATTAAATATTGACCCATGAAAGATAATAAAAGATTTAATAGCATGAATTTAACTTACAAAAGACATTTCTTAGATCACTGAGTGAGAAGTCCACAGAAAACCATCCTTCGGTGAGTACCCCATTTACAGGATATGTCTTGGATCTATTATCAAATACTTCGCTAATGGTAGAACCATTTTCAAGATTAAGATTTGGAAAGCAGATCCCAATTGCATCACTGGTCAATTGTACATCGCACCACATGATCACATCGGATACACTAATAGATTTAGCAAAACTGTATGCATATTCACTGGAGTCGGGAAATAATCCTGAAAACCCACCACGAGCTATGACTAAAGGGCGATCTTCTGCAAAAGATAGGGAGGTAGAGTTTTTAGAACATGGTATAGAAATAGGCAAAGTATTTAGTCAAAACCACACATACAACAATAGGATTATCACAAAAGTAGCCAAAATTGGAGTTAATCCATCAAAAATTTGATTTTTTTTTTCAAATTAGCATGAAATAACCATCTATTTTGCAAAAACAAACGCTGGGCAAAAACCCACTTCTTTGTGAGTTGTACTTTTTATCATATATTATTCGGTTTGTGAGCCAGCTTTCACAAAAAAGGTGAGCAAAACTAATTTTTGCGAAATGTTGGGTAGCAAGTGCGTCTCATATCGTAAAGAGAGCAAGTAAAACCTTCCTACTGCCCAAAAATTCGCAAAAATAGGTTTTGTCACCTTTCTGAGAAATGGGCCTACAAAATCGAATAAAACTGAATATGTACTTCTCGCAAAAAAAAGGAGTATTTGCTTGCGATTTCGTGAAATAAGTGGATATTTAGTACTAAGTTGAAAAAATATGGTCATTTTGCGATGAATCAACTTCATTTTCGGCTTCTTTTGTTCCAAAATCTTAATACAGTGCAAAATGCATAGGTTCTCCGACTTTACATGTGTGAGTGAATTCAGTCTACAGCATTTAGTCCTTAACTTAGAACATTAGTTGATCAATACTCATTAGGTGTTGATTACTGCAATAATCACAAACCCTAACCCGTCAAATCTTCTATTCATAAATCTTAATCGAACACAAGTTCACAGCTGATTTCCAGAAAATTATCCTTTTCTATATCCCCTACTTGCATTCGAGCTCTATCTCGAAACTAAAACTCGTAATTATAACATAATCTCCATTCATATCCAATTCTTCAAAAAAATTGAAATAAAATTCCGAAAATCAAGCTTGACATGCAATCAAATAGACAAAATACTAACAGTATTAGATGATGAAAAAAGTACATAAAAGTAATTGCTGTAATACTATACCGCTTAATGTTTGCCATGGACTAGTTCTGTTACTAGTTTTCCGTGCAGCGACCGACGACACCAAGCAAACAAGAAGTAACAGGGTGAATAGCCACCGGACGTTCCACATTGCCGGTATTTCTACTCCAGTATCCGGTGATCAACTCTGATTTTTCGGGAACGTAGGATTCGACGTCCAGATGGTGAGAGGATCGAGAGAGATTGATAGAGGACTGATAACTGATTCGATGATCATTGATGAAGAAGAAGACGCGAATTGAATTTTGTAAGAAAATCCTGCGAAAAGGAACACATTAATTAAATTAAATTAAAGTCAATTTTCGCGTACGTAAGCCGAGCTTCTCAAGTTCTGAGCTGGCTAAGCTAAGCCACCAAGCCATCAATAAAATTATAAAATTAATTAAATTACCTTTTTAATAATTGATTATTATAAAAATAGTTGTTTCTAACGTATTTTCAACAATATTATTAAAAACAAATAGAGAAACTTATTTTAACAAATAGAGAAATTTATTAAAATGGTATTTTTCAGGGTTGGTTTTATCTTTTAGCCATTTTTTCTTCAACTTTACCAAAATAGTAATAAGTCCGCAAAACTCATGTCTGCAATTGCAGACCTAGCTGAAAGACAAAAAAATTTACGTTTTCTACCCCTATCCACAAAAAGAAATTATATTTTTTGCCAAGGTCCGCAAAAAATTTACATTTTTCACCCAAGTCGGTAAAATTTTTTTGAAAATTGCAAACCCAAGCCCATTACCATTTTGGGCGGAACGGACTACAATATGGGGTAAAAAAAAGCCAAAATACTAGGGTTATTTTGGTAAACTTTGTAAAAAAGTGGGTAAAAATGATTGTTTTAATTAATTTCTCAATCAAATGTTACACCCGTAAAATATCAACAATCACGATGGAATTTCTATAAATTCCTTGTGGGATCTTATTGAAAATCCGACATTTCAATACTGGGTTTTTTTAAACCAAACTAGAATGAAATTTAATTTCAAAATCCTATTAAATCTTGCAAACCAAATGGACCCTAATAACCCGTTTGAAATTTTTATTTGTTTAATTTTTATAATTTGGATTTTTTTATGAATAATTTATAGAAACAAAATAATCAAATTACCCTTTTATTAATTGATCATTACAAAACAGGTATTTTTAACATATTTTAAAACATTACCATAAGCAAATCCTATGAATTCCACGAAATACCAACTTACCCTTTTGGGATTTCAAAATCCAATCTGTATATGATTTCAATGAAATTATGGGATTTAAAAATACAGAAAATCGTTTAAAGCAAACATGGAATTTGAATAAAATTCAAGTTTAAATCTCTTCAAATCTAATACAATTCGGTAAACCACAAACTACCTAAGATAATAAAGCAATGGAATGTTTTTTATATTTGGAGAAATATTGAATATTTATTTTGGAAGAGAAATAATATATATCAAAATTTTTATTTTTTTATTTTGGAAAGAGAATATGTATTAATATGTTAGTAAAGAAAAAAAATAATGTGTACAAATATACAATTATTTATTTTAAAAATTGCAATTCAGTAAAAAAAATGTTGAGGTATTGAATTTATTAAATCTTTAATAGTATAATTAATATAAAAATCTTTTAAAAAATTGTTATAGTTGAATGTACTTTATTTTGGAACACTAAAATAGTACTCGCGCAATGCAACGGGATACATCTTGATTTTAATATTTTATTTTCTTCTTTGTTTCTGTCCATGTAATACAATTTTATATGGTTTTCAAAAAACGATAATGTTTTTATTTTTGAGTATAATAGAAACTTGTATATATCGTAAAAAAAAATATATATATATCAATATTATTATTAAATTAACTATTTAAAAAATCTCGTTTTTTCTGTGATTTCAATAATCCAATTTTTTGTTACAATTCAATATAAGTTTTATAAATAAGTAATTTATTTTTGGTTTAATAATATAATTTTTTTTAAAGACAATAATAAAGTATTATATTACAACTCAATGATTATCTTAATTATATTTTGGACTTTTTATATCTAAAATAAGATATTTATTATGTATTTGATTATGTTTATCTGTAGTTAGTTATAAGAATTAAAACATAGACCTTTAATAAGTTGTATTTACGCAAAAATTACTTGTAATCTTAAATTTTTAGTAATATGATCAATAATCTTGAAAATCTTAGCACTTCCTAAGGATTTCAAAATTCCATGTTTATAGGATTTTAATTAAATTCTAAGATTTCAATTTTGGACAAACCAACAAACCAAACATGGGATTGTAATGGATTTGAAATCCAAATCCCCCCAAATCCATTCCATTTCTGCAAACCAAACGGAACATTGGGTTTTGTTTGGTTTGCGTTCTTTAATAGGATTTTGAGATATTTGGAATTTCATTTCATTCATATGTTTCAAATAGTGATTGGATTTAAAATTTCACAATGATACAGGATCTCATATGATTTGTTCGTAATTATATTTTAGAATATGTTAAAAACATTCATTTTGTAATGATCAATCAATAAAGGGTAATTTAATTAAATTATCTATAAAATATTGAATTCAGTTTCATTCCAAATCAGATATACCAAATATATCAAATCCCTACACGAAATGCAAATCCCTAAAAAACATTTCATCAAACCAAACGTCCTCTTAATTTTGTAAGAATACAGGTGTGAAAACATCATCTGTAAATCAATAACGCAGATAAAGTATTTCAATATATGTGGTATTCATATTCTACTTCGTTGTAAATAATAAGAACGAAAGCTTAAAAGGTTTTGAAAACTCATATTTCTCTTTTACATGAACGAATCAATATTTAGAAACCCACAAATATATATCTAAGAAAACTAATTATCTTAAATATAGTTAATTTTGTAAATAAACAAACTCACATAAAAAACATGCATTTTATTGGGCAAATTGCATGAAAAAGTAACATATTTTAAGTTGATTCCCATTTTAGATAACGTACTTTCAAAACTTCTATTTTTGTACTTAAGATGTAAAGTTTTAAACATTTAAGTATCCGGTTGAAGTATTAACTGATTATCATATTGATGTGACGAGTGATGTGATATCCAACTTCGCTGACGTGGTTAGTGACATAGATTTTTTTAATCTAAAATTAGTCTTTTTTTTTTTAATTTAAAACTAGTCTTCAACCGGTTACCTGAGTACTTAAATGTTTAAAACTTTAAATCTTAGGTACCAAAATAGAAGTTTCGAAAACATGTTACCTAAAGTATGAATCAAGTTAAAATATGTTATTTTTTCATGTAATTTGCCCTGTCTTATTCCAAAATTTTGATTCGATTTTCAAAATTTCACAAGTATATTTACATGTGAATATATATATATATATATATATATTCATACAATATTCTTTTACAATATTTACGAATTACAACTTATTAATACGCTTTAGCATTGAATTATACTAATACAATAAGATACTCTGTAAAATTGATAAACTATAACCAAAAAAAGATTTTTCTGCTCTCTTAAAACCATACAACTTAATTATAAAAAATAAAATCGAGAGAAACAAAATGCAATTCCTAAATACGCTCTATGATATAAATTTTATCGAATCGTGAACTTTAAAATATATGTGTATCGATGGAGGTTCGGGGGAATAACTCGTAAAAAACATGAAAAACCAAGGAACACTCTTGTAACCATTCATTTGAACGGTATACACATTTACATAAGTTTTTATGCATGTGTGCATGTTATGCACATGTGTATACCGAACAAGTTGCTTATGAATTACTCGTATGCACATGTGGATACCCGATACCAACTAGATGAACAGTTACCAAAGCACTTCTCAATTTTTCATTTTTTTACGGGGTTTTTTTTTAACCTGATCCTACGTGTGTGTGTGTGTATATATATACTAGAAGCGTACTCGCGCAATGCAGCGAGATACATCGTGATTTTAATATTTC